ACCCTCCCCATAAATACGTCACTGTTAGACCAAGCTACTGTTACCAAACAATTTAAATAAGTTTTCATTTTTTTTCTCCAATTAGGTGGAAATTAGGCTTTTAAAAGCACTGAGCAGATTCAATTTCGACCTCCTAAAAGTAACATCGAAGCTTATGATAAGAGCATATTTTCTACTAGAAAAGTTGAAAAGTTACTAACATTTTAAAATACCTCAAATAAACGTCTGAAATCATTAGACTGGACAAAATGAAAATAAATTTGTAACAAATTTTCAAGCCCCCCCCCCCCCCCCCCCAATGAAAAATCCTGCGGACGCCACTGGCAACCAATATACATATAAAATATTAATTTATACTAATTAATTCTCCTATAACCAAAAGAAACCATTTATAAACAATGATGTCCATCGTAAATATCGAAATCCCTGTTTGGAGCACTTAATATATTTTATATATATATATATGTATAATGAAAATAATATACATATTGTAGGACACCATAAGTTGTAATTGCGCCACTGGTAAATGCATAATATCTTTTATTCGTAATAAACAACTAGACTAGTGTAAAATAAACATATGCCTACTATGTTAAAACGTCTTAAGTGTATAAAATGATGCACATGTGCCTTTTTGTTTTTTTGGGTCATACACTTAGTTCTAAAAACATTGATTTTTACAAATACGATTAGGTACGTATAATAAAAAAATACTCCTACAATTTAAAAACAAAAACCATTTTAAACCCCATACCCCATGTCTTCTTCCAATTTTATAAAGGTTATAATTTTGTAGAAAACTAATTGATATTTGCTTACCATATTCTCCTAGGCCACGATTATACACCTGTTTAAAATATCTATAGCCTCTTTCAAGTGTTTTTTTTTCATACTAATTATTGATTCAGCTAGGTGCAGTTCTCTTAGCAATTTATTACAACTCTTCGATTAAAGTAACAAGAAATAAACTGTAGTAAAAAGGTATTGTTGTGGATAACTAATATGATCAATGACACACACGTATTATATATTCCTTTATACTATTGTTAACTGCATAAATCTTGATTATGTACATTAATATTGTCTACTCACTAAATAAATAAATAATAAATAATGACCTATGTACAGTCCCGCCGATCATAATATGATACATTGATACTTATATTATGAGTTTTTTTTACGTGTAATGTAGATACATAAATGCTGAATACCTATGCAACAGATGTATTATTAAAACAATGTAGAAAAATAAATTATACATAAAAATATTAATCACGAATACACTATATACTATGGCTGTCGTCTGATGGACCGACACTGAACACGGAATAACACTTGTCAATCGTCGTATTAAATATATTTTGAAAATAAAAGATATTCAGGAATCAGAAATTATATAAACGATGATGTAGAAAAACAACCTTTTATTTACATTAAAAATATATATATATATATTTATATATATATATTATATATAATAGTACTAATTGTATGGAATTGAATTGATTGATTTTGATAAATTTAAGTTGTGCTAGGTGACCAATTACATACATGCAAAACACACTACGTCCATGTAAACTATTCAAAAGTCACCAAGATGGACTTAATAATTTGTATTTTAACTATAATAAGTAATTATTTCACAGTGTCATATTATTTACAACCATTCATAAATAACTACTTTGCTTAAAATAAAATCAATTAAAATAACCAATAACAAAATTTGGTTACTTTTGGCTTACATTTAAAGTTTGAAAAAAAGCTAATTCTCAAAAATCTTGTTTTTTTTTACTTAGAGTGCTTTACACGAATGAGTACGAAATGCAGTTTGAACAAACTATGAATAATAAAGTAAAAAATATAAATTAATGTGTTATTTCAATATTTGATTTGATTTATTTTCGAAAGTTTTTTATTATAAGGGGGGTGACATTATATGAGGTGACTGATTTTATTTTTCTCTTATTCTAATTTTGAGGTTATGACATTAAAAAGGTTGAGAAACGCTGAACTAGTAGGTATACTTGTATTATAAAGAAGAAAAATTGATTGTTTGATTGTCCGGGGTAACCTCTAAAAAAATAGTTATTATGATTGAATAAAATGTTAGACCTTCATTTAATATTCGGTAAAAACCATCCAAATGATGGGGTTAAAAATCTTTAATGGAGATTAAAAACTGTTTTTTTTTTTCATTATATTATAAAGGATGGACATAATTGAAAAAAATTTACCCACTGCAAAAACATCAGTAAATTGTCATTAATAGTACTAAAAAAAGTAGAAGGCCATATTATACGTTATATTCAGGTATCAAGCTTTTTGACCCAAAGAATAACTTTTTATTGACATTTATAGAAAAAAAAACAATGAACACGATTCTATACTTTACTTTCGAAAAAAAGGATATGCAACATATTCCACTAGAATTACTCCTCAACATAATTGGCTATCAGGAAATATTTGTTTAGGATAATAAATAATAAATAACTATCATCACCCATTATGATCTTGTTCAAAGTATTATGTAGGTATGGAATAATGTTAAATTGGTGATTTTTTAGGGTTCCGTACGGTAAACGGGACTCTATTACTAAGGCTCCGGCTATCCGTCGGTCCGTCCGTCTGTCACCAGGCTGTATTTTATGAACCATGAAAATTAGAAAGTTGACATTTTCACAGATTATGTATTTCTGTTGCCACTATAACAACATATTCTAAAAATCCTAGAATATATAAAATAAGCAGTGTTGGCAACATGATTATAGCTGATGATGGTACGGAACCCTTCGTGCGCGAGTCCGATTAGCACTTTGCCGGTTTTTTTTACCTATATAGAGATGGGAAATTACAAATACAAAAAGGTGGGCAAGTGGATATCGCTCTGCTGTACAGTAGGTTACAAGTGGGTCACTGTATAATGAATGGTATTAAATTTGAATTCAATGATATAATATGATTGTAGGTATAAGAAAAACGATTTTGAGCGGAGACGGTAAGTCAGTCTAGGTATAAGACATATTATATGTATACTCATCTATGGAATTAAAAAAAATAATTGACCTATAATAGGTAAATATAATAAATTTCAAATTAATCATATCAAAATATCCATTAGGTACTTATAACGCGTTATACATCAACAACAAACCATGATACTATCATAGATATATAATAGTACACTCTAGAAGTTTCAAGTAACCACGAATAATATTATACAATCACAACAAAATAACTAAAATAGTTATTCTAGGGTTTTCAATATGTAATTTCGTAAAAATTTGAATTTAAAATGACTATCAAAATAAACTGTGCTTGTGTATTTTTTCGACTTTTTGGTAACAGAATTAACTACTTACATGAAACCTTGTTTTAAATTGTCAATCATTAGATATAAAAGTTGAACATTTTATAAAGTTTCAACTACAAAATAATTATTCAATTTTAAATTTGATAAATGTTGTCGAAATTCGATCTTTAAATGCTTATAAAAAAAAAAATTGTGCCCACACTTTTAGATTGTTTAAATGTAACACTGAATACAATAAACGAAATCCCTATTAGATCAGTTTATATTACTGTAATAATTTTTGTATTAATATAAACTTTTTTCTAATTTTAACTTATATAAAAATATGTTATTTATAAAGTAAGAATGTCAGCTTAAATATTAACTAACAAAATTAGTTTTACCCGTATTATTTTACAAAACAATAACCTTCATTATAAATTTATTTTTAAACTTTACTTGTATACTACATTAATACATTATTATCTATAACTTATTTTGTATTTGAATTTCAGTATTGTGTGGATGAAAAAAAAATTAAGAAACGTTAAGAACTCTTGTTGTTGAAAAATTTTTTGCATTCTCTTATTCTATTATTTCAATTGTATATTATTCGAAATAACAATAAAAAATCTATTTATATATCTAACTCAGCTAATCTAAACTGAAACTACTCTTTTGAAAATTGTTTTGTACTTTGTATATCGAAATATGAAATTAAAATTTTACATATGCATGTATTGTCCATAAAAAAAAATAGAAGTTAAAAATTATGAAGATAAAAAATAGTAAAGAAAAAGTTTATTATAAAAAAGTTTATTTTATATATCATATAATTATCTCAAATAATTTACCCATAAAAATATTCTTAGAATCGTTAATACTCTTCGAGATAGTGGTTCCTTAATTTTTACATTTAAAAAATGTCATTCTGATATATAAATATAACTATAAATATTCATATAGTGGGATACATATTTTGTATTTTTGTATAATATAATTATTTAACCACAATACAACATAGAAAATGTAAAATGTTCTTACTTAATAACTTAGTACTTAGTAGTTTGTACTTTATTTCTATGGCTACATGCAGCCTTCTGCTGTAGGGTAAACGTTTCGATAATTTATCATGTTATCAATTTGGATTATAGATTAGTAGGGATAATTAAGATCAATGGTCCACGTGATAAATCAAGTATCTTTCCTTGTAATCAATAGGTAGATATTTTTTTTTTTTTTTTTTTTGGCACAATTTATTTGGAGGATAAATACTTAGTAAGTCTTATTCATATAGATATTTTATAAAAATTAATTTACCATCATATTTACATCATACAACACTTCCGTATTCGTGTATAGATTACATATTATATACTGCTTAATACAAAAGTTATGACAATATAATATACGTACTTATCAATTAGTTACAAAATACGTATTCTTCGCGTTATAAATGTGAAAGTCTCAGTATTCGAGTACTCGGTGTGATAAATTAAAAAACTTAAGTAGGTAGGTATTTATGTAATAATAATATTGTCGTTGTATATGGGTATATATTATAGTTTTACAAAAATAAAACACAACAAATGAAAATAGATCAAAGTTAAATAACTATATATATATAGGGATAAGTAATTAAAACATTAAAAAAAAAAAAACAAGAATAAAGTTCGTCTCAGACAAAAAAGTAGTAGCACCGGCCGCCGTCTTAGCTAGTGAGCCTCCTTCGGAGCGCGAAATACGTGAGAAACCTGAACAGCAAGAGCATGACAACCAACTTGATGATCTCGAAGTATGGATGCTTCCTGTCCACGTTCAGGTAGTAAATTATGATGTTTGGGTCTTTGAAGTGGCAGTAGCCCGTGTCGCAGTGCAGCGGTTCCCTGTTCAACCCGAACACGGTGATGACCAGCCCGATAACTCCACACCGCAAGAAACTGGCTTGCATTACGAACTCCATTATCCAAGGCACTTGGTGCGCGAAGTCGAACCCGTAAATGGCCAGTCCCAAAAACGGTGCTATCATCATTGGGCCAACCGCGCTGCCGTTCTGTAACGATTTCCATTTTATATATTTACCTATATATTACTAATAAATTTGTAATAATATTAATACTGATGTATGGTTTTCATAATATCTCATTAATTATCTCGTAAAAAAAAAATCTTCTGTGTAGTTTTCATTTTAAAAATATTAAAGTTTTGTATTTTTCTTGTCTTACATTGTCTACATGAAACATTAATCATTATAAAGTACGAAAGTCGGTAAGTACTTACAGAAATAGTTTCATTTTAATATTATATTATAGTTTCATAAGATTTTGAAACTAATAATTACATATAAGATGGCATCAAGTTCTACCCTTATATTTTTGGTTATTTCATAGTCATAACAAAACATCATTTTTGAAAATCGATTATCTTTTTTGCCAATTTTACAATTTGTACTTTTTTGAATATGCTATAATTTACAAGTTGTAGAATGGACTGTCCCCACATAAATTTCCAGCGGAATCGATAAAACCGCCTATAAGTATTTTCTAATTGTTTAACATCTACATTACATATTATGCAGGGCCGTAGACATGGGGGGGTGGTTTAGGGGGTTCAACCCCCCCCCCCCTTGGAAAGTTTATAAATTTATTTAAAATATTTAAAACTACTAATATATCTTATATATTTAAAAAAAAAATTTTATCAATAATAGTTATTAATAATATTTTAGATGTTTGTGTTGTTATCGGTTATAACTTATAAGTAAGGTATTTTGTGTATCGTCTAATGGTCGCAATGACAAATCACCATTACCATAACCGTTTTGTTACTGTGATAATTGATAATCTTATTATATATTCATGTTGATAATACTGAAATTTAAGATAACATATTAATTATATATTATCAGTATTATAGTTAAAACTTTAAAAGTTAAAACCGTGCTAAAAAAAAACCATAGATTTGAGAGAAATGATCAGTTTGGCAAATATCAGTATCAAGGTTCTTGACAATTTAAGGGAAAATGTAGATCATGAATTTAAAAAAATGTTCAAAGAAGCTCAAGTAATGAATGCCTTAAATTCAATTTTAATGTTCATTTTTTAAACTATAATTATATTTTTAAATAGAGATTGGCTGAGATGTTAGACTTTGAAATATCAGTCAAACAGCTGAAAAAGAGTCAAAATATTTTCAAAATTGTATGGTGTATAGGAAATGCTAATAAAAACATTCAGTGAAATTTTCATGTATCTACAGTTATTCGTTTTTGTATTACAACCAAATAAGGAAATTACTACATGAGAAATCGAGTGAATATCCAATGTTGTAAAAATTTGAATTTCAAACGCTCATAAAAATTTAATTTGACTTTCTTATAGACACTTTTTTTTTTGATAAATGTAGATAATCTTATGAGGATGATATAATATCATTGTATAAGAAAAACGATTCTGAGCGGTGACGGTATGTCAGTCTATGTATAAGACATAATATTATATACATATCTATGGTATTAAACAAAAAATTGACCTATAATAGGTACCTATAATAAATTCCAAATTAATCATATCACAATATCCATTAGATACTTATAACGCGTTGTACATCAACAAAAACCGTGATACTATCATAAATATATAATAGTACACTTTAGAAGTTTCAAGTACCCACGAATAATATTATTTAATCACAACAAAATAACTAAAATAGTTATTCTAGGTTTTTTAATATGTAATTACGTCCAAATTTGAATTTAAAATGTCTGTAAAAAATAAGTGTGTTCATATATTTTTTAGATTTTTTGGTTATAGTATGAACTATTTATGAGAACCTTTGTGTTGAATTTGTAATCCTTAGCTATAAAAACTGAACATTTTATAATTTATTAATTACAATGATTGATAATTTTCGAGATTTTGATAAATTTTGTCAAAATTTGATCTTTAAATGCTTATAAAAAAAAACTGTGCCTATGTATTTTTAATATTTTTCAACTGCTATTGTAATAATATATCAGGAGCCTTGTATTAAATTTTTAAACTTTTTGGATCAACAGATAAAACTTTATTGATATTTATAGAAAAAAAAACTAAAAAAAATTGAAAGCTGTAAATGTCCATAAACAGCTCAAAAAGAGTCAAAATATTTTCAAAATTGTATGGTGTATAGGAAATGCTAATATAAACATTCAGTGAAATTTTCATGTATCTACAGTTATTCGTTTTTGTAATACAACCAAATAAGAAAATTACTACATGAGAAATCGAGTGAATATCCAATGTTGTAAACATTTGAATTTCAAACGCTCATAAAAATTTAATTTGACTTTCTTATAGACATTTTTTTTTTGATAAATTTAGATAATCTTATGAGGAATCTTGTATTACATTTTCTAATATTAGGTTTAAAAAGAAAAATTTTTACGAATTCTTAACTCAAAATAATTTGCTAATTTTCGTGATTTTTCCATATTTTGTCAATTTTTAAACTTTAAATGCTTATAAAAAAAATTGTGACTAAGGATTTTTAATATTTTTCATCTGCCTTTGAAACAATATACTAGGAGCCTTCTATTAAATTTTCAAGCTTTCGCAACCAACAAATAAAATTTTATAGATATTTTTAGAAAAAAAAACTAAAAAAAAATGGAAAATAAAAATGTGCCTAAACAGTTCAAAATAAATCAAAATATTTTGAAAATGTTATGGTGTATAGAAAATGGAAATATAAACAACCCGTGAAAATTTCATGTATATACGTTTATTTGTTTTAGAGTTACACTAAAAACCAAAATCGATTTTTTGGAAAACCGATTTTGCGTAAAATTCCCGTTTTTCCTTAATTTTTATGTTGTTTTTCCCGGCGTTTGTGAAAACTACTGGGAAATTTTTACTTTTGACCCCCCCCCAAAGTACCAACTAGATTCACTTTCCTATCAGAAAATCTACTGTTGAAGAAAATCCAAGCACTTTTACTGTCCTAAAACGTGATGACAGACACAAAAAAAACAAAAAAAAAAAAAAAAAAACACACATCATTGTAAAATCAATACATTCATCGTTTCACTCAGAATCTAAAAGAAAAATAGATCTGATATTATAACTTATAAGACCCTTAAAAAAAGATATAAAAATAAATTTAAGATATACAAATATAAATAATGTGTTATTTTTTCTTAATTTACTATAACATGTTATTATTATAATAAACCCCCCCCCCCCCATATAAAATTCCTGTCTACGGCACTGATATTATGATATACTTGATATAGGTACAATAATAATAGTTACCTACATATCAGGGGCGTACTCAAGGGGGGGGTTCGTGGGGTTTGAACCCCTCCCATGACCTTACTAACCGATGCACTTTTGTGCGTTCTTGTTTATACATAATATAATTCACAGGAGCAATTTTCTAAAAAAAAATTTTTAAGAAGGGAAAAAATAAACAAATATATTTATTTTCAATTTTATATCAACATGCATTATACAACGATTACAAGCATTATCTGTTAAGAACTGTATTATGATAACCAGATAAAATTTAAATCAAACATACAAGGTGTATTGATAAGTTGTCGTCACTCTGGACCCCTATACGTATACACTATACACTCTTGATTGAAAATATTACCACAGTTCTATAGTCACCAGAGCGCGCTTCTTGTTCTACGAAGGCCTGTATATTCATTCTGTTAAATGCAAAATGTCTTAAAATTTCAGAATTAAAATGCTAATATTTTTTAAAATTGAAGTCAGTATTTACAAAAACATTGAATCATAAAAAGTTTTTTTTTTAATTGAGTTGGTATAATAAATTTAGAGCCTGTAATTATACATTACATTTGCATTTTATTCATTGGCAATATTTTTATCGAGTAGACATCAATTAGAAAAAAATATTATGTATAATTTAGTCACTTCTTTGGATATTTGCATCCTTCTTAAAATCTTTAAATTAAATTAAAACTATTATGATTCTACTCCTAATTCTAATAGTAGTCTGGTAGAGTGGAGTATTATTTTCTAGTGCTAATAAAAAACTAAAAACATGTTTAAAATATTTTGCATATTTTATTTTATGATTAGGTATATTATTTATATTATAATATTATTCAATAATAGTTATCTTATAAACTTCAAACTAATTTTGAAAAATTGTTTAGTTTTTTTTTGTCTTTTCTTGTTTTTAGCACCTTGCTCTTTTTTTTCTTTTGTAAGTGAATATCATTCTTGTTTTGACATAATGCGTTATGATATATTTGGTTAATATTTGACTGTGTATTGAGCAACCAACCTTTGTCAAAAAATTTGTTTATATATTTCTTCAATAAATATAAATTATGTTAGAAAAATAAACAGTGAAAAATGTATATGTAGTTTTCAAATTGAAATGCAACATTAAAAACATGATCTTTTACCGGGACAGCTAGTTATATTTATTATATTTAGATATTTTACACTATAATCTAGTACAGTATTTCTCAATTTTTTTGTCGTGAGGCTCCCTAAATTTAATGTAAAACTGTCAAGGCCCCCTTAATCAAAATTATTAATTGTTTTTTCTAAATTAGGTATATTATACTAAAATTACTTGTACTATTTCACACAGATTAATTATTAAAATGTATAGTAATTTAATATACTTTTGAAAAATATTAATGATAATATTAAAATTTAAGTATTTATTCTTTTTCCATAAACGCTTAAAGTCAAAAATAAAAATAAAATAATAACATTTTTTACTAGTGTGCCTGGAAGTTCTAAGTACATTGAACCCTACAATAATCTTAAAAGAAAACATGAACACGTTAATCAATCGGAATCGGAATATTGTTCTTTAAATAAACATTTTTCATTTTTGAAATTTATTTTCTGTAGAGTACATTACCATGTTTATATTTAATATTTTTAAAAAGGAGGTGACAAAGTCCCCGTGATAAAAAACAAAATGTTCAACCCCCCCCCCATTGAAAATTCCTGAGTACGCCCCTGCTACATATGACATGTGTTAATATATGGAATGTATACCTATGTGGCTATGTGCCTATGTGTAATCCAGCGTTTCACTGAACACCGTATAATCTTGTATAATCTTTGTTATTTTTTTTCGGATAATTATTGGTTTAGGTACTTTCTAATTTCTATACACAGAATTATCGAATTATTTGTTTTCGGTTTATATTTTTTATTTTTAAAATTTATTTATTTTAATTCAATTAAAATTCAATAATGCAAATCATGACGGATTATGATTTGATTTTTTTTTTCTTTTATAATAATACATACCGTCACGTTGAACACAGCACCCACGAGCAGTCCCATGCCCTCGGAGACGAAACAAACTAGTAGACAAATGATATTGAACATCGAAAACCGCAAGAGTTCGTACGGTAGCCCGGACATGAAATATACCAAAGTCGTATAAATACTGCTAAAAAATATCTAAGAGCGAAAAAAAACAAATATCATATAGTTATTGAGGAGGACTAATATGATGACTTAATAGTTAATACACATGCATATGACATCGATATATAAAACGTTAAGGACCATTCAAATAGCGTGAAAATTAACTATTTTAGTGACTTAAAATTTGAACTACCTCTTGAAAGTATATAGATTTACCATTTACGTATGGTTATTTGGAGCTTTATGAAAACATTTTTTTCTTTATTCAATTACGCTATGTTATTTTAATATTATACTCACAATGGACGGCACTCTTGACAACTGTAGAGCCAAGAAATACGGCCTCAAGCTATACCATCTGTTGAAGTATTCTTGTTTTAGCAGTTTCACTTCGGATGGAACTAAAAAATTATTATAACAATAATAATAGCAAACATTTAAATTTGTTATGTAACATCCATCCATGTATATATTATATTAGTATATCCACCTACTTGGTTTTTCCAAAATAACTTAGGTTCTGCAGAGCAATTTTTAATTTAATTTATTATAATATAATATATTAAGCAATGATCATTTTAGTTTTTATGAAAACGATAGTACAATTAATAAAGTTTCACGTAAGACTAAGGAACCAAGTAGGTAATAATTAACTATTATGTAACAGGCTGTAGCCCACATGGCTTAAATAAAACATAATAAGGAGACTCATTTATTTAGGTACTGTCTTAATTTTGTTTTATATTTTATATATTTACAGTATTTGATAAAGTTATTAGACATTTTTACTACAACTTATAATACGCATAATTATAGGTATACTCAATGAGTATTATTCATAAGTCATAACACAGCGTCGCAGTGTCGGAGATAGTAAAAACAGCTAATCACACTCAGTTATTTTTTTCATAAGAAAAGTTTAACACTAAAACATGAATTCCGGAATAAATTATTAAGTACCTAAACTTAGGTATAGGTAAATATATAATTGTTTGAGTGGGCTAGTTAAGATTTTGAGGAAGTGGGGAACTATAAGCACACGGGCAGATCCTATATCTGTATTAGCACCATTGCAGCACACCAATATATTATGTCCAAGTGTAGATAACAATATACGGTGATGATCGATCTTACACAATAAAACTACAGTCATATTAATTAACATAAGGTAATAAGTATTAATTATATGATATATGTACGTACATGCAAGCACTTGAACCATCGACTGCGTGAACGTGTGGAAAAGAATATTGCCCATACAAAATTTCATGTGGTTGAAGAACTGTTCGCCGTCGTTAGCCTTTCCATAAAACACTATGCCTACTGCCAGGCCACAGATCAGATGATGGTAAAACTGTATGTTTAAACCGATCTGTGGTTGTCGAGGTGAAACACAAAAACGACGAATGATTTCATTAGAATAATAATATTTAAATGCACATTTTATGCGTGATTATAACATATTATATAAATAGGTATGTAATATGTATTATAATATATCACATCAACTGGGGCGTAACGAGACGTCATAAAATACGCATGTAACAGGAAGACCTGACAAAAAAAAAAAAATTATGCTACTTTTAAATGTATGACAAAAATTGTGAAAATTATAAGATTACAGTAAAATGGGGTAACTTTGATCATTTTTTACTGTTATATGACAATCTTACTTTTTATTTTATGGATAACTTCTGTAGTATTAACGATATAACTCTCAAAATTAAATATTAGTCACAGCTAGTTATGATCAATATTATAACGTTTTAATTTTTAAATTTCTGGTGTTATATTTTGAGATATCAATCTTTTCAATATGCTATCAAAGTCACAGAACGCAGATATTTCTTAATATGATATCAAAGTACCCCATTTTATGAAAAAAAATTAAATCACGGTAATATATAGATTACTATAGTGAATAAAAATATATGGGTATCAAAGTTAAACCGCGAAATCAAAGTTACTCCATTCTACGGTAATAAATAATTTAATAAAATAAACATACTCATATCAAGAAATATCCAAAAAAAAAAAAAAAATAATAAAAATATGGATATTCAAAAAAAATTCTAACAAATAAACTACTTGACTTAGATAAATGTTTTTACCATTAAAATTTTTCTTTTAATCAGATTTACAAATAATATGTCTACCTTGTTCCTGTACATTTGCAAGACCATGCGCTTCCAAAGCGTGCAAAATTGCGACCAACCGGAAGTTGGAAAGTCCACACACCACGTGTTTCCGGGTTTCACCACGTCATCTTCGTCGTCATCGTTGTCCACTTCATCGTCTGCTTTGTACTTTATTGGTGGCAAAGGGAGCAATTTAGTAGTGATCACATTGCCGTTAAGTTCCGGCAAGAGCAATTCGCCAGCTGTATACGATGGGCAAAGAACAATACGCATTATAAACAAGTAACAACTCAAAAATGATTGGCACTAAAGTCATATTATGTGAGTATACGACTAGGTGGTTAAATTTGTAATTATTATAAGTTATATGAAAAAGCTTTTCTCAAAGAAATTATTTATTTTTGTCAGATACTGAGAGAGGATTAATTTCTTAAAAATGCGTGTACCGATTTGACAAGAGGGCTAGACAGTACCCGAGGGTACAGGAACATTAGGAACTAGTAATGAAGAAATTAGATGACTGTATGAGTGTTATGCAGGGATGGAAAACGTTTTTAATTTTTTCGTTTTTGTTTATTGATCTAAAAAATATAGTTTTTGTATAAGGTTTTTAAAAACGTTATTTTCCTATTGTTTTCAAATGACGTTTTTGATAATATTTTTTTTATTTTTTTATAATAATAACGCGCAATTTAGAAATGCACTTAAAAGTTAAAAATTAAAATTAATTATTGTTAATATTTAAATTTTAAAAGTGCATTATTGTAAAGATTAAAAAGTAAAGACTTAAGTGAATTTTTTCCAAAATTTTTTTTTCGTAGTATAAAATTTATAATAATGTAGGTATAATACTATAATTTATTTTCGTTTTTGATTTCGTTATTAAATTTTTTCGATTTTCGGGATTTTTTGTTGTTTTTTATTTTTGTTTAATTATTTCTTTTCGTTTTCGTTTGTTTTTTGTTTTTTTCCGTTTAATAACGTTTTCCATCCCTGGTTTTATGGGAGTGTCTCATTTTTCTATTAAAGATTAAACACATATAAATATTATCATTAAACTGGGATTTTCTTACAGCTGATTAGTATAGAAAAAATCAGAATTTAATCAAATTGCTCTGCCACTACGGGGGCACTCGGGGGTGAACATGACTTGCAGTATACGTATAGGTTATTATATACTCGTCACTAACATTTCGTCGTGTCCTCGTTCAAGTAGCAGTTGTTGACGTCCCTCGTCTTGTACAGCGACTGCTTGCCGTTGATCGTGGCCGCTGCCAACTTTTCAATGTTGTCCTGTTCCTCACCGTCGGTCGCTTCGATTATGTAGTCGGCCGGGTTGTACGTCAGCGGGCAGTGCAGCCCGACGGTAGACAGGAACGGCACCAGTTGGTCGGTGGAGCCCTGGTACACGCAGTACCCCTGCGACAGCACGTACACATGGTCGAACAGCTGGAACATGCTGGCACTTGGCTGGTGGATGGTGCACACGATGGTACGACCCTGGTGCGCAAGCCCACGCAATAGTTGCAGGCAGTAGGTGCTGGAAACGTTGTCCAGGCCACTATTTATGCAAAAACAATTCCACGTCAAGTTTTGTATCATTCAGCTTTTAAGAAGCGACGTGCGATGTAGGGCAGGTGCAGCATGTTACTTAAGTTTAAGTTTTTGAAGAAGACCACAAAATCTCGAACTGCAGACCATTCAAATTGTTTAATCAGGCTAGTTATATTTAATCAGTATTGATTTTACCATCATTGGGAGTCAATATTTTCTATAAATCTAGTCATATATCTCTATAATTGCCTAGTTATAATATGAATTACATAATATCTCTAAAACTCAGGGGGGTGAAGAGTATGGACTATTTTCGAGATTCACGTCTAGCCCATCTGGGTTTGATTAAAAATGCCTTATACAGTTCCTACTATACCTTGGTATTTGATTATTATACGTTTTACGTATAGATATATATATAATTTATACAATTTAAAAAACATTTGTATTTAATATACCGTGTGTCCCAAAAATCAGGGGCCACTTTACTACTCATTACCATGTAAATATTTTTCAATTCTGTTTGCGGGACATTAAACTAGACTAATGGATCGTAAATTTCTTTGACTCACAATGTTTTTAACTCATGTATCTTGCGCATGCGCAATAAAACTTACATTTTTTTAAATGGCAACCCGTAATTTTAATAACATATTCGGGTTCATCGATTTTTTTCAAGCCATTTTGATATATCAACTTATGTCCTAAACCCAAAATTGACTAAACTAGAGCTAAGTAGAATTTAAATAATTAAAAAATTCAATTTAATTAATTTTTTTTTCTAACTGTACCTACTTATTTTTTTCTTCTAAGCACGGTGAAACAAACAATCAAAATTATTATTATTAAACTAATTAACTATTTACTATTTTTTGAGAGTAAGATTTGGCGAAAAATTTATTGCAACACATGGACCAGTAGAGGTCACCAGATCTAACACCGTTAGATTTTTTTTTGTGGGGACACTTGAAAAATGTTGTGTATGCTGATCCTCCAATCAACATCCAAGATTTAAAGAATAAAATTACACACGCATGTTACCTCCTAAACGAAAACCAAATACTGGCAGCAACTAATCGTGAATGTTTACGTCGATTTGAGGCATGCACTTTACACGATGGAGGGACTTTCGAACAGTTTATTGAATAGTTTATGTCTGTAATTTCTGTAAATTAAATTGTAAATAAAAATGTATAGTAATGGTAAAAAAAATAAAATAGAAATGTTGTTTCTTGAAAATACATGTTTAAACCATGTTATTTTATAATGCGTAATAATAAAATAAGATAATAATTCATAAATAGTAAATAGTTAGGTAATTAGTTTAATAATAATAATTTTGATTGTTTGTTTGTTTGTTTCATGGTGTTTAGAAGAAAAAAATTACAAAAAAATTTACAGTTAGAAAAAAAAATTAATTAAATTGAATTTTTAAATTATTTAAATTCTACTTAGATCTAGTGACGCGGCCCGCGTTAGTAGCAAGTACAATGTACAAGCACTATAGCGACCAGTCTATCTTATCTCCAACCACCACCACGGGATGCAAGCAGCGCGACCGGGTTGACTCTCCCACCGAGCCGGTAACGGCAAGGTGGGACGGGGGGACTGTGTCGCGTAAAACGTACAACGGTCGGCGGAAAAGTCGATTCGAGATCCACCATCGGACCGTCGGACCGATAACATATCGTCCGACGTTGAACTCATCTGCCCGAGCGGCACGTCATGTATTGTTATATTTTGGTCGCAATATTATAATACATAATTTGTGACATTCTTAAAGTGTTTGTGTTGTGTTTATTTCATCACCTCAATCCTAACCAAACACTTCGACCGGACCACGATCAACCTTGAAGCAATCATCGTGTCCGCGTCACTAGTTTAGTCAATTTTGGGTTTAGGACATAAGTTGATACATCAAAATGGCTTGAAAAAAATCGATGAACCCGAATATGGTATTAAAATTACGGGTTGCCATTTAAAAAAATGTAAGTTTTATTGCGCATGCGCAAGATACATGAGTTAAAAACATTGTGAGTCAAAGAAATTTACGATCCATTAGTCTAGTTTAATGTCCCGCAAACAGAATTGAAAAATATTTACATGGTAATGAGTAGTAAAGTGGCCCCTGATTTTTGGGACACACGGTATATAAGTATATACTTTTTTTACATAAGTTACAACTCATTCAATTGAAAATATCTGTGTACGACACTGAGGTAGATCACACATTGAACCGGCCCCTACCAATAATAATTATTTATTTTAGAAACAAAATATAGTTATATAATAACAAATTATTTAAACATTGATAATTATCATCTGTGCTTAAGATTTTTAAATTGGTTGACATCACCATATAGTAGAGGTGGCAAGTGGCCACAACGAGGCTCATAAGCCGCATGAGGCTCTTAAGTCAGTTTTGTGAGGCTTTAAGTTATTTCTATAAATAAATAAATGTTCCTTCATCTGTTATAATATAAAAAATGTGTCTTAATTTTATAAAGCCGTTTATAAACATACCTTATCAATGTGGCTCTTTTCGAATTAGTTTCATAAATGTGTGGCTCCAAAAATTAAGATTAGTGGCCACCCCAGGCCCCAGCCGTATAGTCACCATAGACAGTGTTTAAGTTGATTATGCGTAAACGCCACAAATTTCGATGTACCTATACTTATACCTGTGTCCTACGTATATAGTATAATATATATTATATCTACATCATTTTCGCTCAAGTATAGTCCGAGACAATTTGTTTTATTTACGTTCATCTATGGCCATTGGCCACGGAAAGATAACACGCAAGTACGCAACAACATTTTGTTACAGTCAATCACATTAATGTGTACCTAATACCTATACCGTTTTAGACGGACCTTCGTAATAATGTTATTACACGCACTGATAACGTTATTATTGCAAACAGTATATTGCAAAATATCCTATATCCTATTGTTAAATACGTAACCGTGTCCTATAGAAACATCAACTCACTTCATCACAAAACAGTAAACAAAGAGTAATATATTTTCTATTTTAAGACTAATCAACACGAAGAAATTTAAACGAATATGGAACAAATTAGAAGTGGCATTGACAATAATAGTCATTATGATACACCTATATAAATTGAAATATCTTGAATAATAATTATAATGGGTAAATAGTAATAATAATTGAATAATAACGATAAATATTAGCTAATACCTACATAGGTGATACCTGTACAATAGTTATTGTATAATGTGTCTACATCGAACCATTAAAATGCATTACAATAGCCAATACTGCGATGCTCTTTCAAACAAGAACCCAATTAGTTCTTTTAGATAATTTTTTGTGTTGAATGGTATTCTATGTAGGTTTATACCTAGGTACCTAAAGAAATGTAAAAATGAAAAAACTGTATTTAGTTTAAAAAAAATATGGTGTTCTGTTAAGAAAACACCAATTACCCCACATTTGACATACCTAAATACAGATTTGTTATTTTTTACTAAATACTTTCGGTTTTTGATTACGTTTTTAATATTACGTTATTACCAGTTACCACGACTAATTCAAAGATAATATTTTCAGCAATTCGTAGAATAAAAATTTTAGTGTTTTCAAATTATATAAATCGAAATAACCTATAACATTAACTCTATTCTCATCAAAAATAACGCATAGGTACACCTATTTATATTATATAATATGGTGGATGACAAATGTAGCTAAGTAGTAGATACAGAAAAATTAATTTTGGTTAATGGTTTCTTGTTTAACAGTAACAAAATATCTATCACTAATAATATAATGTAATCAACTAATTTTAACACTGGCTACATATTATATAATAGGTAAAACTAAAGTACATTGTTAAGGTCATCGTCATGTAAGTGTAAATATACTTAGTTTTGAATTTTCTCACGGAACGATAATAAGTAGTATCGTAATATGTTTGGATTATGTAGCAACTATAATAATGTATTGAAGACATTAATTTAAAATGTATGTTAAATTTCCTACACCCTCTAATCCAACAAACTGACGACTGTTAATATTTTTAAAAGAAAAAACCGTCCTGCAGACCACACTACACATTAGGTACGACATATTTTGTCATCGCAAATTATCAATACGTACCTAGTAGGTTCGTCGAGAAATATTATGGGCGGGTTGTTGATGAGTTCCAGAGCAATAGATAACCGCTTTTTCTGGCCTCCCGACAAGAATTCGGTCCTTGTATTTTTGCTCTCAGACAGTCCCAAGACATTTTGAATTTCTGTCACCTATTTAATACTCTAGTTATAATATACATATATAATACATTAATACATTATACATATTATTATGTACATTGTACATTTTACATCATCGAAACAAAAATATAACATTCCGTAAAAATATAATGTTTATTCAACTCAAAATTAGTTCATTTGATTTTACACTATGTAGTTTCTTAATATACCTAGGTGCCACTAAAACCAAAGGGGATTAACCCACCATAAATTGTACACACCAAACCAGCCAAAAAATAAAAATAAAAATAGTTAGTCCATTAATAGAATCAATAAGAAATAAGAAAGCAGTATTAATTGAAATGACAATAGATTATTTTGTTTGAATGGAAAAGGGATAGGGAAATATGTGAGTTTCTGTTTTATAACTCATCAGTAGGTATCAGGTTCATACCAAGAGTAATACATTTAAATATCAATCGATAATTCAGTAAAAATAATGCTTTTTATTCTTAAGATGTTTTATATATATTATATTATAAGAACTACGAGTAGGTATGCTTCAAAATTATTTTTCGTATCGAGAAATATTTATTGTCTATTGAGTCTTAAACAATTAATATTTAATACTAAAAAAAATGTATCATGTTTTATTATTTGTATTTTTGCATGTGCATTGGCGAAACTACGAGTGTGAATGGATAACATACTGACTTAATTCAATATACAATTTTAATAAAAAACTTATTTTGTAATTATTAATTAATTTTTTTCATATTTATCAATCGGCCTGTCCTAATAAAATTGTCTAGTTCCACCTATGACCTTGTGAAAATGCATAATAGTTGGCTGTTAGAGACTGTTATCGGGTCTGTGTGGGGCATACAGTCTGTATACACAGTTATATTCTCCAACCACGTAAAAAAAAAACAACTTTAAACTATAGTTTCACCAACGCCTATAGGCAATTTGTCTTGTTTATTTAATTGTAGCATTTAATTATTGTTTTGTACTCACGATCATTTGTTTTTCTTTGGTCAGTGTACCATTGGATAGTTTAAGTTCCGCTGCGAACATCATAACTTCATTCAAAGTCAACATGGGCTGAATCTTGTCCTCCTGCATTATGTAACATGATAACTTACGAAACAACTTCTCGTCTCTGACTTGACTATTCAACTTCAAAGTCCCGCTTACACCTTTATAACTGAAACGTTACCGCATGATTAGTCAACACAAAACAATTTTGTTTTGGTTCGTTTTGGTTATCGTTATAACAACTAATTAAGTGGTCTTTAAAATACGTCATAGTCTATACCATATTTTATTAAAATTTTCATAAATAAAAACTATCAAGAAACCCCAAATATTATTTTTTGTTAGGAAATAAAGTTAAATATAGTTTAAATGTTTATTTTTAAAAATAATAGCAAAAGCCTGTAGTAGACAATATTACACGTTAATCATAATTAATAAATTATTTTAAAACTGTAGACACTTCATTATTTTCAACATCGTAATATGCACATTTTATCGTTATTTAATTATAATCAAATACAAAACAAATGTTCCAACATTTTGTGTGTAACTACCTGCATAAATAAAATAACGAATACCTATCTTTATTAATTATATATATAATTTTAAAAATAGGAGTGTAACTGTGTAAATAATAAAAATAGACTAACTAACTAACATGTTTTTTCAGCCCTCTACACCTTTTTGAACTTGTACTTGTTATAGTTATATTAATATTACTTGGCATAAAATTAAACATTGTTGGCCCTAAATATTTAATGCATTTTGGAAGACTAAAAGTGTTTTTTTTTGTATGTTTTTTTATTAATTAAAGTTTCACTGACGTAAGTTATCCAAACTTAATGTTGTTGAGTTACATTTTTCTTTTAGCATTTGGAAAATTGATATATATAAATTGAGTATTATAATAAATAAATTAGTAATAAAGATACTATTAGCTACATTTTAAAGTATTCACAGTCTGAAGGAAATTGAACTAAATTAAATAAATAAATAAATATAGTGGTTATAATAACAGGTCGTGTGGACGTTAAAAGTGTTTTATGTAACGTATTTTGACATTAAAGGACAACGAATTTACTTTTATGTTTAAAATTAATTATTTTGAAATTTCAAAACTTTTTAACTTCAGACATATCAGAAATGCTGTTGTATAGGATATATTTATTTGGAGCTCAAATGGTTCTATGCAGCTTAAGGTTATGTAAACTGCAGTACCTCCAGGTTATATTTAAAGTACTAATTAATACAAGTACATTTTAAGTTAAAGTTATTTTTTATCTACATAAGTATAAGAACAGTCTTATTTTGATTCATCTCATAAGTTATTAAATGTATACTGTATAGTATACATTAGCAACAAATAGTGCATAATATGTATTCGAAGATCATTTGATATTTAAACAATTAAACTTATTAGTAATTTCCTATTTAAAATACGCATCCTAAACTATAACTTAAGAAAATACAATTCGAAAACTATGCTTACTTGTAACCGGATAGTGTATTAAGTAAACTGCTCTTTCCTGCACCCGATGGTCCCATAATGCATGATAATTCACCAGCTGAAAATCGTCCATTTACCGACTTCAATATTGTTCTTGGCGGTACTACAAACAAAATAACAACAGAATAACTATATTATGTAGTTTATTCAATTATTTTTGAACAAAGTCTTTCATATTAAACTCAATTAAAGTATGCTATTTCAATAAATTTTTTCAAACATGCCAAATATGACGCAATCTAATATTTGTACTCCACAAGCCAAATCGACATACAAAAAGTTTAACAATGCCTTTAAATGAGGCGTTGGGTTCCTAATATGTCGTGTGTGATACTATGTAATAAAATAATAATAATGTTAAAAAAAATCTTCAAAAATAATAGATTATTTAGTTGAGAGGACGTCATACCCGCATGTGTTGTCTCCGTCTAACAAATGTACAACTAGCAAAAACTATTTTAGGCGGGACAACTTTTCTCGCACCACATTTGTTGTAGAACTACCAAATTTTCACAACCCGTAGAGAAGAACTTTTTTTTTCAATAGCACTATCCAATCATTTTTTATAAGTGAAATAAAAAAATAAAAAACGAAATGTTTAGAAGCAAATAACTTTAATTGTATTTATGATATCTAAAATAAAGGTACTATGATGCATAGATAATTTTCTATGTTTAGAAATTTTGGAGCCACTACTACAAACACAGAAAGATAAAAGTTGTCCCGCTCAAAACAGTTTTTGGTATATTGTACATTTGTAAGAAGGAGACAAAACATGGGGGTGTGACGTCTTAATGACTTTATGTATTTATTCATTATGGCTTATGATTTATAAATAATGATTGACTATATTGCATGCAAGAAAATGATAGACTAAGGTATGAAGATTTATACAAGATTTCAATTTTGTTTCAGGCCACTGAAATAGTTAAGATAACAAAATATGACGGCTTCTTGCCCAATGAGGTTCTTGTTCAAATTATTTTATATTTTAAATATTTTAATTCTTAATAACATTATTATATTTATCAATATAATAATGAATATAACACCACTATGCCTATTGACTATTATACTATTTATACCTATTGATACTCTTGACACTGTTATAATAATAAGTTATTTTGCTAAATTATATAGGCACCTATTAGTCATTACTCATTACCTATATACTATGGGATAATATTCGATGTTACAAACTGTTGATTGACCAGATTGAGTTGTTCGTTAAACTGTACACGGATTGTCGCAATAATATATTTCAATTAAGTTTAATAAGAGCATATTTCATATTTCATAAAACTATGAATAAAATATTATTGCTATTGTCTATTTAATAAGAACTATCGTAAACAATTTTCTAGTTACAACATTTAAAAAAAAAATTAAGGAATATTTTAAGTATTATTATTTATTGAACAACGAATATGCCACTTTGATCCATTAATGATAGTATCACACTACTATAATATTATGTACTTCAATATTTATTACTTAATACACTAAATTATTGCGAAAAAAAAATAAGTAGGGATGACATATTATACAGTTTGAAGTATTGTCTATATATAATCTATACGTAAAGATACTTGAAATTACGAACTTGTACATGTGAAACTAATCTGACGTAAAAAGTGAAAGCAAACTGCGGTTTCCGATTGAAACCGACGGATTCTCCCCTCCCGGAAACCGAATAATATAATCTTTGCCATCTTCGGATATGTCTGTCGAAATGAATAATCATTTTCAAAACACTTAAGGATTCGTTCAACACACGTTATCACAGTATTATGATCAAATACATATTTGTTGTGCCTTCTTCGATAATTTAAATATTATATTTTTATAATATATTTTATAAATTATTATTATATATATATCATGTATGTTATTGAATTTATATATTACCAACTTTGTAATTGCCGATTGGCGTTAATTAATAAAAAAAAATCATACCAGGGTATAAGAAAATATGCAAGCAATTATTATTAATATTATTGTTTACGTTTTATTCATTTATATTTTAAAACTTTTTAATATTTTTACTGTTAATAATTTCCATCAATTATTATTTATCGCCCCCCTCGAAGCTTAATGCTTTGTATTGGTATTTAAAATTTTAGAGTCGAATGAAGTTGCGTGTATATGTACCTAACTACATATTGTACGCCTAAATGTAAGATTAAGACGTATAGGTAAACCAAAATTCAAAAGTCCAAAGCTTTACAATGTGTCACGTGAACTGATCAATATGCAAATCACGTATATAAGTAAGTTACATTAAAAATTAGAAAAGTTGCACCAACAAAAATAATGATGATAAGACATGAATTGAAATTTAAAAATTAAATTAATAACACGTATTTCTGTATATTGTATATAAATAAGTATTAAGTATCTACAAATATAATATGTATTTCTGTTTATATTCGGATTATAAAGGCGAAAACAAACTTAATTTTTCTTGTCACAACATATAAAATCTATAAGATGTTAGAATCTTACAACCAGAATTAATTAATATTTAGCGTTCTTTATAGTTAACTAAATTACGAGTCGTACCTATTCGGTTATATGTAGTTTTAATAAACTTTCTATAATATTTTATACGCATAATATGCAGTTCAGTTGCTACAATATTTTATGAATAACCTATAGGTAGACGTCGAATATAAGTGAAATTCGAAAACAATAAATAGCAAAATATATTGATTAATACAAAATAAAACCTAACCTAATTTAACAAAAAAAAAAAAAAAAAATTGTAACTAATGGCCAATGTCGCCGATGTTAATTATTAAGAACAATAATAAAATAAAAATAAAAACAGTAAAATGCAAAACCAATGCAAATATTATACATATTTTACTTCACAATGACTTTAATATTAAGAACATTTCAAATTGTGTATACACTGCGTGTGCATAAAATATTTATTTATCGATAAATTTATTATGATCCTATAATTTATATAGCATTATTCTATAGCAAATCAAATTGCTTTCACCATTATTAGAATATTGGACCGTTGGGTTTATTTTTACGACCTTTTATCTTTATACTGCAATTATCGTGCTCTACAGTTCCAAATGTCTTCAGTTTTAGGTTGTTAAATTGTTTGCTGTGTAAAAGAATACTGCAGTATTCATTGCTTGTCGACGAATATTAAAAATTAATCAGTTAGATAAGTTATAAATGTAGCGAATATTATATAATACAAATTTAAAAATTGTATTCTAATAATTAGCTGATTGTAAGTAATAAACTATATTATTTTCTAACAACTAATATGCAATATTTTGTTGACATAATATTATGATTATGTGTAAAAATTACGCACAGCCATGAAATTGAAAACGTGTTAACTTTGTAGTATATGATTTATGAAATGGAGGGTTATTAGTTATTACTTATTGATGTATAATAATACGTTACTCTTACTCTATTGTCATTATCTTGCCATCATGGTACCTATTTAATTAATTGAACTCGTAATTAAATATTCAATTCGTATTAATATTCAATTCTTTACAAATAGCAAGTTTTTTTTTTAAATTTATAGCTATAATATAATATGTAATCGTTTATATGATGTGTTCTATTAATATAACATTATAATAACATTATTATTATTGTAATAATATATGTGACATTGACACTGAACTTGAATTACTGAAACTTTCAAACAAAACGATCATTTATTTGATGACATATTAATCACAAAAAAAGGTGGGCAAGTGGGTGTCGCTCTGCTGTACAGTAGGTTACAAGTGGGTCACTGTATAATGGATGATATTAAATTTGAATTCAACGATAAAATATCATTGTATAAGAAAAACGATTCTGAGCGGAGACAGTATGTCAGTCTAGGTATAAGACATATTATATACATTATACATATCTATGGTACTAAACCAAAATTTGACCTATAATAGGTAGGTACCTATAATAAATTCCAAAATTAATCATATCAAAATATCCATTAGGTACTTATAACGCGTTATACATCAACAAAAACCATGATACTATCATAGATATATAATAGTACACTTTAGAAGTTTCAAGTATCCACGAATAATATTATTCAATCACAATAAAATAACTAAATTAGTTATTCTAGGTTTTTTATTATGTAATTTCGTCCAAATTTAAATTTAAAATGTCTGTCAAAAATAACTGTGTTCATATATTTTTTAGATTTTTTGGTTACAGTATGAACTATTTATGAGAACCTTTGTGTTGAATTTGCAATCCTTACCTATAAAAACTGAACATTTTATAATTTATTAATTACAACGATTGATAATTTTCGAGATTTTGATAAATTTTGTCAAAATTCCAACTTTAAATGCTTTTAAAAAAAAATCGTGCCTATGTATTTTTAAAATTTTTCAACTGATATTGTAACAATATATAAGAAAGCTTGTATTAAATTTTCAGACTTTTGGCCCAACAGATAAAACTTTATTGATATTTATAGAAAAAAAAACTAAAAAAAATTGAAAGCTGTAAATGTCCATAAACAGCTCAAAAAGAGTCAAAATATTTTCAAAATTGTATGGTGTATAGGAAATGCTAATATAAACATTCAGTGAAATTTTCATGTATCTACAGTTATTCGTTTTTGAATTACAACAAAATAAGGAAATCGCTACATGAGAAATCGAGTGAACATCCAATGTTGTAAAAATTTGAATTTCAAACGCTCATAAAAATTTAATTTGACTTTCCGGTAGAGATTTTTTAATTGATAAAGGTAGACAAACTTATGAGTAATCTTGTATTACATTTTCAAATCTTAGATATAAAAAGAAAAATTTTTACGAATTCTTAACTCAAAATAATTCGCTAATTTTCGTGATTTTTCCATATTTTGTCAATTTTTGAACTTTAAATGCTTATAAAAAAAAACTGTGACTAAGGATTTTTAATATTTTTCATCTGCCTTTGAAACAATATACTAGGAGCCTTCTATTAAATTTTCAAGCTTTCGCAACCAACAAATAAAATTTTATAGATATTTTTAGAAAAAAAAACTAAAAAAAAATGGAAAATAAAAATGTGCCTAAACAGTTCAAAATAAATCAAAATATTTTGAAAATG